CAGTCATTGTGGGGTCTGGGGGAAGCTTCTGAAACTGTAACAGAAGGAAAATTTTCACTTAAACGGTCTTATGATGCCCAGCTGTTTGAATGTGCTCTCTCAGCAGTTCTGTGCTTGTGTCACATAGATACTTCATGACTACCTGAACAAGACTCCATCTCTTATTTAGCCAGTACTGAGAAAGGTAGCTACTTTAACTTCCTTAATGCTAGACAGCATTAAAGGATCTCTCCCAGGGAAGTCACATGCAGAGCTAAAATATACAGTTCTAGCAACTGGCAGGAAGTGGGAGGGGTGTGCAGTGAAATTAAAAGCCACATATACAAGAAAAGATGGCAATGGTGCTATTGTTATACCGTATATTTCTTAAACAGCTACACCTCCAGAGCAAGAACTAACTGACCCCTGCATGCAACACACTGGAAGGCCCTCAGTGATCCGTCCAGCAGAGCAGCAGTAGCATCATGCCACATTTCCTCATTTTTTAGAAGTGCAGTCCTACCCTGTGTGTCTGTGTTTCCACTACTTCTGGTGCTTGCAGGCCATCTTGGTAGGAGGGCACAGGAGGACTCTCAGCTGACATCAGGGAGGTTCTCTCATTGCAGGGCTCTTCTTCACTGTCAGAGCTGTTCATGAAAGTTATCATCTTCAGACTCCCCTGAAGGCTTAGGAGTGGCACAATAAAGACTTGCTAGAGCCTTAAGCACAGGGAGAGGAAATGGAGAGAAAACATTAACATTACAATGCAAACAGACAGGACTGGAGACCTCCACATGACATGCCTTTGCAGTGGGAATGCTACAGCAGGGGATCATCTCTTATTGCAAGAGGATAAATCAGCACAGTGTACCCTGCACAGCATTTTAGCATGCTTGATTAAATGTGGTATATTTTAAGTGGTCAGGGAGGGGAAGTGAAATTCAATGCAAAAACAGCAACCAGGTGAGAATAATTTTTTAAAGCTATAGCCTGCAGGGCTGTTGCATCCATGCTTTCTCTGCCTCCTCCCCCAGTGCTTTGGCTGGTGTAGAGGGATGTTCTCTGGGGTTTCAAAAGTAGTTCATTTTCCAGGGCCCAATCAATTTTTCCACTTCTGCTGAATGCCAACCACAAGGTGACAGCCTGTCTGCTGGAGAGCAGTTCCCATAGCACAGACCAATGAACAGCAGCCAGATGGTGCTAAATGACTAGTTACCTGGAACTTGGGCTAAATGCAATCTAGTAACCTAGAGGTCATCTGAATTTCATAGGAAGTTCCCCCTCACCCAATAAAAATGGTAAGGCAGTGCCTTTTCTTGAGAGCTAAGCTCTGTCTCTCTCACTTACGCTGGCCAGTATTTTGACAGCTATGTTATTCTATAGAGGAAAAAACAAACCATTTGGAAACAACAGATTTTGCTGGCCTACTTTCCACACTGCTAGCTGTGCAAAACGGACAGTAACATGCTGAAGAAAAAAAATAGAAGACTCCCCTTCTCTCCTCTCTCCTCCCCTACCACACCATGTTCACTACAAAACCTAGGTGCCCTGACAAATGCCAGGTGGCCACGGCTGCAATGCCAAGGCTTCAGTCACCTCTAGGATCCAATTTCTTTCACTCTACTGCCTTCCACTTTTAATATCAAACAACTTGTCCATAACAGCGGGTTTGTAACAGCTCAATCCAGGAGAATCCATTTTAGTGTTTTATTGTTCAGTTTAGAGAGGCTGTTTGAGCTGGTTCAAGGAAGTTAGTTACATCTGGTTTTCAGGCAATTCCCAGGAAACACAAGCTAGACCCCTCATACTTTGGAAGATTTGAACCACTTCATTAGAAAGCTGCAAGATGCATACACCATCACCAGAACATCTACAGAGCACTGAATCCAGGCACTGCGACAGAGAAACCCAATATGCCTCAAGAAGTAGAGATTGTCCTCCTCTTACCCCTAAAGTAGAAGCATACAGAAGCTAATCAGCTTGGCCAAGGTTACAGGATAAGTACAGGCTAGTGCACTCATGACCCAACCAGGAGGCCAATTTCAGACATGGGAGTCTAGAAGTTAGCCAGGACATTCTGTCTTTTTAATGTGTGGGGTAAGAAAAGAGAAATCAGGAGACTCCCTTTCCACCACAACTCCTCTGATCTTCACTAATTTTAGACCTCCCTCTCAAACAGAGAGTTTTACAAACAGAGCCCAATATAGCTAGATGAGAGACTTCAAGAGAGGCACCCCACCACTTTCTCTTCAAAGCTCATATAATTTTATCTCCGTCTCAGTGCCACATGCAGCAACATCCAGGAAAGTTAGAGCTGACACAAATGGTCAGTGTTAGATTGCCTGCTTTCCAATATCAATGTGCCTTTTCTGGCCCAAGTTCTAGGGAGCATACATCCACTTCTGTTCACACCCATATTGCAAGTGCAGATTCCTTGCCTATGGGGGTTTATCAGGCGAGATTATCAGGGGGTCACATGTCTTGAAAGTATAAGGACATTGTGAAATGTAAGAGTTATTAGTCAAAGGGAAAGTCAGGTTTGTGTTGTATATGCAATATACATGAACTAGTGAAGCGAGAATAGTCTAAGAGCCTGCCATCAGATCATAACTAAACTCAGCTGGTCAGAGAGCTTCATAAACAGCTGCACAGCTTCTGCATATACCCACTGTCCAATTTCCACAGCATCTGAGAAGTCTCTCCCCCTACCCCTCTCCCCCACCAGCTTCTCCATGCAATCCCTGCAACTTGACCAGTGCACCACCCTGCTAGTGCAGAGTGAGATAACAATTAGTGTGTGTTGTCACTAGCCAAACTGGGCTTCATGTAGAAGCTAAATATTTAACAACAGCAGCAGCAGCAACAGCAACCTTCTCCAAACAACATTCCAGTTGCAATAATCATAAAGATGGAAGGAAATTTCTTATTTTAAGAGAGACGTTTAAAAACTGTTAGAAGACACTGTTGTAGCAAAACCCTAATTTTTGGGGTTTTTTTTTTAAATTTATTTAAACATACATTCCCTCCCCTTCCCCAACCATTTCGGACTTTCTCTCTGCCCTCTCTATCATAAGTGATTGCAAGCAGTACTAGGTAAGCTAAGTTCTTGTACATTTTATTGTAATAAGCCCCCTTTTTATATATTGCAAATAGTGTTCTGT